GGTGTTATATAAGCTGTGTGACTGTGGGTGACGGTGTTATATAAGCTGTGTGACTGTGGGTGACGGTGTTATATAGGCTGTGTGACTGTGGGTGACGGTGTTATATAAGCTGTGTGACTGTGGGTGACGGTGTTATATAGGCTGTGTGACTGTGGGTGACGGTGTTATATAAGCTGTGTGACTGTGGGTGACGGTGTTATATAAGCTGTGTGACTGTGGGTGACGGTGTTATATAAGCTGTGTGACTGTGGGTGACGGTGTTATATAAGCTGTGTGACTGTGGGTGACGGTGTTATATAAGCTGTGTGACTGTGGGTGACGGTGTTATATAAGCTGTGTGACTGTGGGTGACGGTGTTATATAAGCTGTGTGACTGTGGGTGACGGTGTTATATAAGCTGTGTGACTGTGGGTGACGGTGTTATATAAGCTGTGTGACTGTGGGTGACGGTGTTATATAAGCTGTGTGACTGTGGGTGACGGTGTTATATAAGCTGTGTGACTGTGGGTGACGGTGTTATATAAGCTGTGTGACTGTGGGTGACGGTGTTATATAAGCTGTGTGACTGTGGGTGACGGTGTTATATAAGCTGTGTGACTGTGGGTGACGGTGTTATATAAGCTGTGTGACTGTGGGTGACGGTGTTATATAAGCTGTGTGACTGTGGGTGACGGTGTTATATAAGCTGTGTGACTGTGGGTGACGGTGTTATATAAGCTGTGTGACTGTGGGTGACGGTGTTATATAAGCTGTGTGACTGTGGGTGACGGTGTTATATAAGCTGTGTGACTGTGGGTGACGGTGTTATATAGGCTGTGTGACTGTGGGTGACGGTGTTATATAAGCTGTGTGACTGTGGGTGACGGTGTTATATAGGCTGTGTGACTGTGGGTGACGGTGTTATATAAGCTGTGTGACTGTGGGTGACGGTGTTATATAGGCTGTGTGACTGTGGGTGACGGTGTTATATAAGCTGTGTGACTGGGATGATTTTAAGCCCGGATAGTCCCAGTATCTGTTGATGTAGAATGCCTAGGCTTAAGCCAGCAATATCTATGATTTCACCCTATGATTACGTGCTATAGAATTATTGTAACTTCTTATATAATTAATGTACTGTATTTTTTATGTAAATGTTTCCAATTATATATGTACAACAATTCATGAATAAAGATTTTGAATACAGTCTTCATTACAGGACAAAGAAAGTTGACCTTATAATACTTCACTTAATATTTGATATCAAAACAATATCCGTGCTTCAATTGTCGTAAAATTATATCACATAATTGTTGTGAAGTGTAGACATGTTGATGGTGTAAGCCTTATGTGGGCAGTAAAACAAGATGCAAAGCCAATTCTTTTTATTTTATAACATACGTAGAACAAACGAGAATAGTTGACAGGCGTCTCAGAATTTACAGACTATCTTGCAGTACAAAAATGCGAATCTCTTTGCGTTTTTATATATTTTGTTCATATTTGTAAGATGTGACAGAATTTAAAGGAATAACTTTGTTAACGTCGTATCTGCGCGCACATGATGTCTAGTGATTAGTTTGTTTCCCAAGTGAGTGGCAGGCAGGTACGACAACAAAAGCACACCTGTTAGAGGCCTATGTTGCCATCCTGCAGGAAGGTACGACAACACAAGCACACCTGTTAGAGGCCTATGTTGCCATCCTGCAGGCAGGTACGACAACACATGCACACGTGTTAGGGGCCTATATTGCCATCCTGCAGGCAGGTACGGCAACACACGCACACCTGTTAGAGGCCTATGTTGCCATCCTGCAGGCAGGTATGGAAGCACAAGCACACCTGCTAGAGGCCTATGTTGCCATCCTGCAGGCAGGTACGACAACACACGCACGCCTGTTAGGGGCCTATGTTGCCATCCTGCAGGCAGGTATGGAAGCACAAGCACACCTGTTAGAGGCCTTTGTTGCCATCCTGCAGGCAGGTATGGAAGCACAAGCACACCTGTTAGAGGCCTATGTTGCCATCCTGCAGGCAGGTACGACAACACACGCACACCTGTTAGAGGCCTTTGTTGCCATCCTGCAGGCAGGTATGGAAGCACAAGCACACCTGTTAGAGGCCTTTGTTGCCATCCTGCAGGCAGGTATGGAAGCACAAGCACACCTGTTAGAGGCCTATGTTGCCATCCTGCAGGCAGGTACGACAACACACGCACACCTGTTAGAGGCCTTTGTTGCCATCCTGCAGGCAGGTATGGAAGCACAAGCACACATGCTAGAGGCCTATGTTGCCATCCTGCAGGCAGGTACGGCCACACAGTGAAGACACAACTCCACGATGCAATAAGGACGTGCAATGTGCTAAATATTTTAAATATATATGTGCTTGTTGTTGCTAATAGGCCAAGTTGTCTAACAAGCCGAGTTTTCCTTAAATTATATATTTTTCAGATTTTGTTCTTATGGAATGATAAAGCTTTCCACTGTATTATATATGATTTTAATGTTTTTTTTATTTCAGTTAACCAAACCTAACCTAACCTAACTTAACTTAAATTAACACTAGACAACAAAACACAATAACATCAATAATTCAACACTCTACTATAATATAGTTATATTATTAAAATAAATCAATATGAAAAGAAATATTTTAAAATAACGAAATTCACTCTGCTTTTAGGTAATTAGTTTCGTATTAATCAATATATCTTAAGAAGGGTGGATCAATACATCCCTCTGAAGATGTGTTGACTAATACGAAAGTTCTTAAAGAATTTCCTGTCTTCTTTTCCTTGGTGATCAGCCATTGTAACATTATTCATCTGAGCTGGGGTATGACGACTGACCAAGAGCTGGGGTATGACGACTGACCAAGAGCTGGGGTATGACGACTGACCAAGAGCTGGGGTATGACGACTGACCAAGAGCTGGGGTATGACGACTGACCAAGAGCTGGGTATGACGACTGACCAAGAGCTGGGGTATGACGACTGACCAAGAGCTGGGGTATGACGACTGACCAAGAGCTGGGGTATGACGACTGACCAAGAGCTGGGTATGACGACTGACCAAGAGCTGGGGTATGACGACTGACCAAGAGCTGTGGTATGACGACTGACCAAGAGCTGGGGTATGACGACTGACCAAGAGCTGGGGTATGACGACTGACCAAGAGCTGGGGTATGACGACTGACCAAGAGCTGGGGTATGACGACTGACCAAGAGCTGGGGTATGACGACTGACCAAGAGCTGGGGTATGACGACTGACCAAGAGCTGGGGTATGACGACTGACCAAGAGATGGGGTATGACGACTGACCAAGATCTGGGGTATGACGACTGACCAAGAGCTGGGGTATGACGACTGACCAAGAGCTGAGGTATGACGACTGACCAAGAGCTGGGGTATGACGACTGACCAAGAGCTGGGGTATGACGACTGACCAAGAGCTGGGGTATGACGACTGACCAAGAGCTGGGGTATGACGACTGACCAAGAGCTGGGGTATGACGACTGACCAAGAACTGGGGTATGACGACTGACCAAGAGCTGGGGTATGACGACTGACCAAGAGCTGTGGTATGACGACTGACCAAGAGCTGGGGTATGACGACTGACCAAGAGCTGTGGTATGACGACTGACCAAGAGCTGGGGTATGACGACTGACCAAGAGCTGGGGTATGACGACTGACTAAGAGCTGGGGTATGAGGACTGACCAAGAGCTGGGGTATGAGGACTGACCAAGAGCTGGGGTATGACGACTGACCAAGAGCTGGGGAATGAGGACTGACCAAGAGCTGGGGTATGACGACTGACCAAGAGCTGGGGTATGACGACTGACCAAGAGCTGGGGTATGACGACTGACCAAGAGCTGGGGTATGACGACTGACCAAGAGCTGGGGTATGACGACTGACCAAGAGCTGGGGTATGACGACTGACCAAGAGCTGGGGTATGAGGACAGACGAAGAGCTGTGGTATGAGGACAGACCAAGAGCTGGGGTATGACGACTGACCAAGAGCTGGGGTATGACGACTGACCAAGAGCTGGGGTATGAGGACTGACCAAGAGCTGGGGAGGACTGACTGACCAAGAGCTGGGGTATGACGACTGACCAAGAGCTGGGGTATGATGACGACTGACCAAGAGCTGGGGTATGACGACTGACCAAGAGCTGGGGTATGACGACTGACCAAGAGCTGGGGTATGACGACTGACCAAGAGCTGGGGTATGACGACTGACCAAGAGCTGGGGTATGACGACTGACCAAGAGCTGGGGTATGACGACTGACCAAGAGCTGGGGTATGACGACTGACCAAGAGCTGGGGTATGACGACTGACCAAGAGCTGGGGTATGACGACTGACCAAGAGCTGGGGTATGACGACTGACCAAGAGCTGGGGTATGACGACTGACCAAGAGCTATGACGACTGACCAGAGCTGGGGTATGACGACTGACCAAGAGCTGGGGTATGACGACTGACCAAGAGCTGGGGTATGACGACTGACCAAGAGCTGGGGTATGACGACTGACCAAGAGCTGGGGTATGACGACTGACCAAGAGCTGGGGTATGACGACTGACCAAGAGCTGGGGTATGACGACTGACCAAGAGCTGGGGTATGACGACTGACCAAGAGCTGCGGTATGACGACTGACCAAGAGCTGGGGTATGACGACTGACCAAGAGCTGGGGTATGAGGACTGACCAAGAGCTGGGGTATGACGACTGACCAAGAGCTGGGGTATGACGACTGACCAAGAGCTGCGGTATGACGACTGACCAAGAGCTGGGGTATGACGACTGACCAGGAGCTGGGGTTTGACGACTGACCAAGAGCTGGGGTATGACGACTGACCAAGAGCTGGGGTATGACGACTGACCAAGAGCTGGGGTATGACGACTGACCAAGAGCTGGGGTATGACGACTGACCAAGAGCTGGGGTATGACGACTGACCAGGAGCTGGGGTTTGACGACTGACCAAGAGCTGGGGTATGACGACTGACCAAGAGCTGGGGTATGACGACTGACCAAGAGCTGGGGTATGAGGACAGACCAAGAGCTGGGGTATGAGGACAGACCAAGAGCTGGGGTATGAGGACAGATCAAGAGCTGGGTGTATGAGGACAGACCAAGAGCTGGGGTATGAGGACAGACTAAGAGCTGGGGTATAAGGACAGAATGACTGAGCAGAGCCTAGCCACCTGGACCATCGGGGGATCGAACGCCGACCCTGCAAGAAGCAAGACCGTCGCTCTACCACCCAGTACTATTTGATAAACCCTCCAGCAAGGGCGAACTCAAAGATAACCTTCAAGACGGAGGAGGAGGGTCAGTGGTGAGCCAGGGAGCCCCTGTAGGCAGGTGGGGCGGCGGAAGAGGATCAGGGGCGAGCCTGGGAGCCCCTGGAGGCAGGTGGGGCGGCGGAGGAGGGTCAGGGGCGAGCCAGGGAGCCCCCTGGAGGCAGGTGGGGCGGCGGAGGAGGGTCAGGGGCGAGCCAGGGAGCCCCTGGAGGCAGGTGGGGCGGCGGAGGAGGGTCAGGGGCGAGCCAGGGAGCCCCTGGAGGCAGGTGGGGGGCCCTGGTCTTCACCAGCTGTAGCCTGGCTGCTTGAAGCCGTCGTTGTTGTCTGCAGGAATACATGGATTTTTGTTGTGGGTGAGAGGAGTTGTGGGGAGTGTGCGTGGGGGTTAGTTATGGTTGTGGAAAGTTTGGGTAGTGGGCATAGGTTGGAGTTGTGGGGAGACAGGGTTGGTTGGGGGTTGTGGAGAGTGGGGGGTTGGGGTTGTAGGGAATGAGGGTAGTGGGAGTTGCGGTGGGAGAGGTGGTGGTTGGGGTTTGTGAGGGGGAGAGGTGGTGGTGATTATGGGTGATGGGGATTGTGGGATGTGGTTGGGGGTCGGGGATTAGGGGGGAGTTAAGGTTGGTGGGGTTATAAGGTGGCGGGCAATGGGGTTTTTGGAATGGTGAAGGGTTGCGAGGGAGTTGGGGGTATTTTTTTGGGTGGTTGAGGAAAGGGGGTAATAACGAATAGGGTGGGGTTGTTAATAATGGAGAAGGCAACAAAGGGGTAACTTATTTGTTTGGTGAGGGGGGGGGGGGGGGAAGTAACCCCGGCAACTTTATAATAGTTCTTGTGAGAAATATTCAGGTCAAACGTTACCGCTGCGATCTTGAAGAGTTCTCTTAAGAAATAAATATCATCACTTTATCTTCGCCGTTTTTAGTTAAATCATATAAAGTCCATTTTCAGAAAATATGTTTATAAGTAGTTTAATAATTAAGGAATTCCCAGTTCTGAAACTATTGAAGTTCATAATTCCCGCTCTACTTATTTTAGTTTTACTTCCGAACTTAAAGAGTTCGTATGGAAAAAAAAAGACTCTGGACTCAAGTTTCTATTTTGAAAAAGTAATTCACAGTATCAGAAGTAAGTTCTTGAGGACTGAGGACAACAAATAAGAAGTAACAATTTAGTGACCGAGTTCCAGCTCTCGTTCCCGCCTCAGTTCTTGCGAACAATCTCGTTACTATCAGTCCATTTTGCCTGAAATTTAAAACCGCTATATTTTGGATGAAGTAAGAAAAACCATAGAGTGATCGAGTTCCAGCTCCTGTCATCTGACAGGCCAATTTGATTGAGCTTTAAAACCACTGCATTTTGGACGTAGTAAAATAGATCAAATCAATTACCGAGCTCCGGCTCTTGTACCCCGCCTTAGATTACTCTTGTAATTTCGTTAATAACAAATCAATTTCCCTGAGATTTAAAACCATACATTTCCAACGTAATAAAATAGAACAAAGAAATTACCAAGTGCCAACTGCTGTTCTCCGCCTTAGATCAATGTTCATCAAACAGTATTCCAGAACATCAACAACAACAAGTGAGTAGCTCTCAACCCTTCCCAGCACACGCAAAAGTTTTTTTACGTTCTCATTTGATCTCAGAAAGATGACTCTGTAACTATTTATATAAAGTCGTCTTTTCAATGTATAAAATATGTTAATTTTTAGTCAAATTTGTGTGTATGTATGTGTACTCACCATCTTGTACTCGCCTACTTGTGCTTGCGAGGGTTGAGCTCTGGGTCTTTGGTCCTGCCCCTCAACGATCAATCAACTTGTGTACAGATTCCCGAGCTCCTGGGCTCTATCATATCTACATTTGAAACTGTGTATGGAGTCAGCCTCCACTACATCACTGCCTAATGCATTCCATCTGTTAACTAATCTGACACTGAAAAAGTTCTTTCCAACGTCCCTGTGGTTCATTTGGGTACTCAGTTTCCACCTGTGTCCCCTTGTTCACGTACCTCCCGTGTTAAACAAGTAATCTCTATCTACCCTGTCGATACCTCTCAGAATTTTGTATTTAGTGATCATGTCTCGCCGAGTTCTATCTTCCAGCTACGTTAGGTTCATTTCATGCATCCTTTGCTCGTAACTCATGCCTCTTAGTTCTGAGACTAGCCTAGTGGCATACTTATGAACTTTTTCCAGCTTAGTCCTGTGCTTAACAAGGTACGGGCTCCATGCTGGGGCCGCATACTCCAGGATTGGTCTTATACATGTTCTTATTGGTCTTATACAAGGTTCTAAATGAATCCTTACACAGGTTCATGACGGCAGTTCTGATGTTAGCCAGCCTCGCATATGCCGCCGATGTTATTTTTTATGTGGGCTTCAGGAAAGAGGTTTGGTGTGATATCAACTCCTAGATCTTTCTCTCTGTCTGTTTCATGAAGGACTTCATCTCCCATTCGGTGTCCTGTTTCTGGCCTCCTGTTTCCACCGCCTAGTTTCATTACCTTACATTTGTTTGGGTGGCTTCAAGGATCTCATAAGTTATATTTATTATGATTATTATAATAATTTCTTATTCATTGTCCTTTAACCTAACTTCTTTCTGCTCTTTTGTGTAATTATTATGTTTGTTATAATTTGTCCTTATTCATTACTCTTAACCTAAACTTCCAGATGTAGTTTTTGTTGTGTTTAAATCTTGAGAGAGAGAGAGAGAGAGAGAGAGAGAGAGAGAGAGAGAGAGAGAGAGAGAGAGAGAGAGAGAGAGAGAGAGAGAGAGAGAGAGAGAGAGAGAGAGAGAGAGAGAGAGAGAGATAGAGAGAGAGAGAGAGAGAGAGAGAGAGACCTAACCCTATCCTCACTTTGTGTGTGAGGATAGGGTTAGGTTTGGTTGGGATAGGTTATGAATGGATGGGGATAAGTAAGGGAAGAATGCTTAAACAACACTTTACAAAAAATATTAGAGATTGAAAGAAGAACAGAGGGAAATTGTAATAAGATAAGATAATTAAAATAGTTGGATATGGGATTTATGTAATGTTCTGAAATTAGTTGTGTAAGAGTTTCCGAAAGTGCCTCGGCGTTTTCGAGAGCTGTGCTGGTTTGTTTAAGAGTGCATATGATCTGCGAAAGTACTTAAGTGTATATGCATGTTAGACTAAGCCTATGAATTTTGTGCAAGTTTGAGATAATTTGCATATACAAGAGAACTTGTGAAATTTTTAGAAAGTGAGTAAGTTAATGAACTGAGAGCATGTGTTCAAATCTGTGTTTTTTAAGTGAGTGAAATGAGTATTTGCTTCAGTTGTTTAAGCTTGTGAATGTAATTATAAGTGTGTAGGATTTTACATGGTTCGTATGTAAGAAGGAGTTTATATGGGTAAATTTGTGTTTATAAATGTAACTGTATGTGAATGCGTAAGTGCATTTCCGAGATTGTGTAAGAGTGTATGTGTTTTGTCAGAGTTGAATGAATTTATATAAGTTTATGCTAGTTTGTAAATATAATTGTAAGTGTAAATGAGAATGTCACATATGTATAATTGTGTACATATTTTAAGCAACTTATGTAAAAGTGTATGTGTCATGGGGTATTTTATGTAAGTATGTATATGTTTGCAAGTGTAATATTAAAGTTCTGGTTTGTAACTGCAAGTGTTAAAAGAGTCTTTCATGGGTAAATAAATGAAGAGCAGATGTTCCAGAGATAATACTATGTTACGGAGGATAGGTTAGGTTAGGTAGATGAGGGCAGATAAGTACATTAATTTATGTAAGTTAAATAAGTTAGTAAGATATGTAAGTTAGGTTAGATCAGGATAGGTAAGTTACCTCAGGTAAATTAGGTTATGTAAGATATATCATGTAATTTGGTAAGTTAGTTAAGTTAGCAAGTTATATAAGTATAGCAAGTTAGCAAGGTATGTACATGTCAGGATGGTTATGCAGTATAGGTTATGCAAATTACTCAGGTAGGATAGGTTTTGTAAGGGAAGTAACGTTGTGTAAGTTACGATATGTTAAGTTACATCAGGTAGGAGAGGATAGGTAAGTTTGACTAGGTAAGTTAGGATAGGTTAGCTCAGGCAAATCAGCTTAGGTAGGATAGTGAATTGTTAATCAGAATAGTTTAAGATTAGGTGGATAAGACAATACATTTTAATCAGAATAAGACATGTAAAGCTTACATGTCTGGAACTAGATCACTCTATTTTCGAGAAAACCTATTGCATAATGGAAGTTAAGTAAATAAGAAATGATAGATATGCTACCGGGAACTGAGTTATTTTTGTGAGTGATGTGATAATTGTTACTAACACCTTTTGACTGTAAAATGTCCTAGTGAAACTGTTACTACTACATAAAAGATAGTTACTTTACATGACACATAAGTTTATTGGTACATAAAGTTGCACGTGTTTAGTTTGATATATTACTTAAAGTTGTCTTAGTAAGTCTAAAAAAACTATAGTTTACATATTTTACTGAAAGCGATGCTCTTGACTACTTAGTTACTGAATGATGAACAATGTTTGTTACCGTGTGAGTTTATTTATGCATAAAAAAGTCCTAGAGAGTATCCTTTATAAGTAAAGAGTACACAGAGAGAGTTTTTTAATGCTTGATGTTTCAGAGATCATCTTTGAGGACTCTGAGTGTAACATTGATGTCTTTGAGATTAGCTTTGATGGCTTTGAGTGTATCTTGAGATCTCTAAGTGTGTCCTTACATAAAGAGGGAATGAGAGCATCACTTCACGTTTAAAGATGTTTCAGAGACTAGCTTTAGTTAGTAATATTATAAATAAATTACCTATGACTATTTTTTTCGCTCTATAGAGCATAATGTTAGTTAAGAAAGTGTTGAAAGAAGACATTTAGTTATTTTTTCGAACTAAGGACGAGTTATTTTAGTTAGTAAATCATTTAAGAAGTTACGCTTGACTCTTTTTCATTTGAGCAAAGTGTAATGTTAGTTAAGAAATTATTTAAATATTCCTTTGGAAAATATTTTGAACGAACGAAGAGATATTTTAGGTAAAAAATGACTGAAAGAAGTTATGCTTGACTATTTTCAGTTCAGTTTAAGAACAGTGTTTGTCAGAAATGTTTTGTTGATAAATAAATACAAGTGTAACTAAATTTGCTAGGGGGGAGAGTAATGCAGTTGATAATACATAAGAATGAACTATTTACTGAATGGCCAAAGCAAATTAACATTTGATTTTAAAGAAACATGTTCAAATAGGAAAATATCACAAAGAACATGAGGGGTACATAAATGGAATTTGTAGAGAACATGAAAAACAATAAAAGTTTATAC